CCCCAAAACCCCAAAACCCCGTCCAAATTAATTAAATTAAAATGACGAGAAATTAGTATTAAACAAATTAAATTTCATAAATATAACTATATTTAATCATTTGTTGATTGATTATTGAGTAAATGATAGTTTCATTAGCGATAGACCATATCATTATTATTGTATTACTAATTATTAGCAAACCCCATTAAAGGCTTTAGCTGCATGCCCCCGCAATTAATGTTCTAATTGTTATTTTTGATTGGAGACCTGCTCTAAGCTTTGCTCTTCATGCCAGTTGCCTTGTACGGACTAGCATTTTGTGAGTACTTCTGAGGCAGTTACTAGAGATGCTCATTGAAGTTGCCTTGCTTGTCAAAGTTATACTAAATATTGCTGCTTGCATTGTTGCTATTGCAAAAATTTGCAGTATTGGGTCTGTTTGAAATAGAGCCGAAGGGCTTGCAGTTGTTGAGGTCTCTCCTTCTGTCTGGTTTTTCTGGGGATCCAAAGTTCTCATCATTCTTATTTCTCTCTGTATCCTCCTCAATCTCGTAGTAGCCTTGACTCATGCTCTTGTTGTGTGAGAGACCTGAATCTCTGCCCTCGTCTAGTAGATTTTTCTTCATTAGTAACTCTTCGGCCACTGAGAAAAAGGACACAAAGTGCAGCGAGCTGTTATCATTAACAGATTTGTCTCCGTCAAGCTAAATAGTTGAGTGATTGTTGTGGCCTTAGGCACTTACAGTCATGCAGTAACCTTAATGATGCTTTTAGATGCTGCCAACTCCGCAAAGTTCCGAAATCGCACTCTAAATGGTAGCACCGATTGCTGAGGCTCTGCTTGGGTTCATACGAATCTAGCCTTAAGTCTTCAGATCGTCATTGTCATCATACGTCATTTGGACTACGACTTCATCATCGTTGTGATTAATAATCGGAGTGTGCCAGTTGCTGTTGTCGTTGCTTTTATGAACCACTATATTATTTTCTATTTCAAAGAAGTCCATGAACTCAGTGAAGTACAAAAACTTGCCATGCTAGTTTTGATCTTCATCTTAATCCTCCATATTCAAACTAGCTGAGGTCATAGAAAGATGATTGTCAATGATCTTCCTATGTAGCATTGAGAAGAACATCTCAATAATCTCAGATATTCTCTGATAGTTTTCTTCCATCTCGTTCCTCTCAATTTCGAGAAGCCATTTGGCTATCTAGCATTGCTCTTACTCAGTGTTGTTTTTATCTCTTTATATCCTATTCATAACATTCTTAATGAAATGAAGAGTTCTGTGGATATACCAAATGCTGCCCTTAAAGAGCACACAGAACTTGAACTCAATGGAACAGAACTATTGAGCAATATGCTACTATCTTAGTTGCAGAGGTAAGGGGCCCATGTTTACTCCATCAATAATAGTAACTAGCTCATCTGAGTTTTACGAAGTAACTTCATTGTTGCTGTATTCATCTTGCGAACTAAAGTCATCTCCTCTCATTTCGAGATGAATTTGTTTCATGTCTACTATCTTAGCCAGGAATTGCTCTTCAATGACTGATTGTGAATCCTCTTTATCCTCTTCTTAAATGCCTTGACCTCCGTTCTCGTTTATTATTGATGATCTCAAATGCTGTTACTTTTTGCACAAGAGGTAATGACTCACGAATAACATTGGAGTATATAGTTTACTGCAGCCGTTGCATTAAAGTCTTTAGCAATGCTTGATAAGACTTTCATACTTGCCTTTCTTTTCCAGCTTTTTCTCCAGAATTAAGGATCTTTTCTCAGCTTGCTCAATTGCTCTAGATAAAGCCTAGTTATTGTTTAAAATCTAACTGAATTCATCACTCATTGTTTGAGATATCTGTTTACTCTGGTTGTTTAGAGCATCTAATATATCATTGTAGAGCTTTCTGTTTTGCTCTAGCTAGTTAATCGTTAAAGGCAACTTCTCTATGATTTCTTATTCAGGCATTTGCTAGAGACTAAACTTCTCAGTTAGAGTAAAGTTAAGCTGTGAAGTGCGGTTAAAGTTGTGAGTGTAGGAATCAGTGTTAAACTGATACTGATTTTCATCCAGGACCTATATGTCTTTGTCGCCTTTCTTTTAGGTTTGGACGCCTTGGTCTTTGTACTCTCTGCCTCTGTAAAATTTCAAAGAGTTCATTGCTTCAGACAACTTATCTTCAAGAAGTCTTATTTTTTGTTCCATAAATTTCAGATTCTTCATCATCATAGATCTCTCTTGTTCATCTTTATCTTTTTATGCTTGGCTGAATTCAGAATTCTGAGATTTCTCCTGCTTTAATTAGTTTATTTATGACTCGTTCATGCTTAGTTTTTCCTGCAAGAGTCTGACTTAGACTTAGCTCTCTCTCTTATCATTATCACTGAGAGTTTCAAGCAGTCTAAAGATCTTTGTCTGAGTGTATTTCCTATAAAGTTACTCCACTCTTTCATTATCGTTGATGAACTTGATTTGCACAATGGTAAGTGCCTGCTCAATCTCTGACTAGATTTTTTCGAATGAATCCACATCTTCATTGCCTCTTCTCACCTTATCTTCGATTTGTGTTTAAAATACTGAACTGATGGTTTGATTGATTTATTAGTCTATCTTCTGCTATATCTCTTTGACTATTATCTTGTTCTAGTGCTTAATCTTGTCCTTTAGCTTTTTCTCAAATTCAGAAATGCTTTTTTAATCACCTAGGAATTTATTCTTAAGAAATTGCAATGCTGATTCTTTGATTTCATTAAGAACAGTTTTGATGTTTTGATAGCCAATATCTTCATATTAATTTCTGACCTTCTCCTTAACCTGAAACTCAAAGTACGAAATTGAATCCTTGAAAGCTCTCTCCTACTCGAAGTTGCAGACATTCGACCAAGCATTCTCAATATTAGGCACTTTTCCATCATTTAGAGCATTAATGTATGAAAGAGCCAACTCAACAATCATTGGCCCATTGAGTTAGTGGCCGTTCATTACCTTTACTTTGACCTTAGTCATAACTTTTTATTTTAATCTGTTCATTTGCTCTATGAAATCTTTTCTTAGATTGCTATCCTTAAGCTTTGCCAAGTCTTAAAGATCTTTTTCCTTTTCAGTCGGTCTGATTAGAGTGCAGCAGTCTCTCTCCTGAAAGAAATGCTTTAAAAGTCTCCTAATTCTATTTTTCTATTCAATTGCCTCTGAACACCCCTTTTACTCTTTGAGTGCATTCTCGAGATACTGCTTAGAGGATATTCTGTTGCCCTCTGAATCCACAAGTTTCAGAGTAAAGTCCCTCAAAACCCAAAGGAAAGTAGGGAAAATTGAGGCTAGTTCATCTATATCATCTGGAGTTTCTTGTCTGTTCTTTAACTGTATCTTTTTTGATAGGTTAATTACAAGTGACAAGTTATTCAAAGCATTTTCATCAATAGTGCCCACACTGTTGTAAATTATAAGTGAAGACAACAGTAAAGCCAGAAGGAAAATTTTAGCATCGTGATTTTCATCTTCGTCAAAGGCCCCTAATCCCTCTGTGTCAATGACAATCATTGGGCAATCGTTCTAATCTGAGTATATAACTTTTTTCCATATCCATAAACCCTTAGTGCATGGGTTGATAGTGGGTGAGACTTAAAATCCAGTTGCAGTTTTATTTAACTGAGAATTTTCTCCCAGTTCTTAATCGAGGTTAGTGCTGGATTTAGCTTATGTTGTATTTCCGCCTATAATAGAAGTGTTGCTTAAATTTTGAAAGTAAGTCTCGACGAACAACTTATTGAGCAAATAAGACTTTCCTGTTCTATATTTGCCACAAACTGCGACTACTCCCAGTTTGATATCCTTGAGACTTTATAAAAACTCTCCTGCTTCTGGGTTCAATTCGAATCTGCCTAAAGTTGAAATATGAGTAAATTTGGATGTAAATTACCTTCTTAGGGAAGAAATTTGATAAAGGGGATGGCTTGCGAGTCCTCTCGGGAAAATTGGATGGGCTCTGAAAATCTCTAGCGCATATCGTGATGGGACACAGGAGTATTGCCCTCGCTATCCACATTTTGATATAGCTGTTATATGTTATCAGTACTTGACATTAACATTTGCAAATTTATTAAAAATTAAAATTTATTTCACAACGTTATTAATTTAAATAATCATTATCAGTTTAATTAAGATAAAAAAACCTAAGTCACTCAAATTTAGGTATAATACCGGTGGTGTTTCTATTGTTGTACTTATCTTTCTGAGCTGAAATGAATCTAAAGCCCTTAAAGCAAATATACTGGACTATAACCATTGGGAAACATCTGACTAAATTGACACTGAAACCCCCATATAATCCTCTGTATCCCTCATCTCTCAATACCTTTTTAAAGCAATCAAGGTCACTTTTATATATATTTCTGTGACCTTAAGAACCGTTCAACTGCATTCTTCTTTTGACTGTGTCGAATGGATAGCACAAACCTTAAGCCAGCAACAATGCCAGAGTTGAGGGTCCAAATCTATTAATAAACTTCATGATAAATGGCCCTCCATCTCTCTAACTATAAAGAGTGTTTTATTAATCAGTAGCTGATTTAAGTCCCTCAAAAGTTCCCATTAGCACCATAGTGTAAGGAACTTGAGATACAATAGCACTTGGATATCCTCTGAATATGTTCTTGACTCGACTGCCCTGAGTGACTCCTACCTCCATTTGAGTTTTTGTCAAGCAGTCTCTTACAGATGCATACAGTTTATGACTCTTTTACTGAGGAGCATTCTTGTCTTGAAACACTGTGGGCTTCTTGCTCATGTCAGCAGCCATTCTGCCATGAACCAAATCTAATGGATATGTAACAGTTGTAGTGAATAATGCTGTCAGCATAGCAGCACCCATTGAACTCACGAAAGGATTGTTGTCATTTTTGAGTTCCTGGAAGACTGTCTCGTACAAAAAGAACTTCATACTGTGCTGCAATGCTATCTTGTACACATAAGCATTAATCCCTCTGTAGTAAGCAATTGAACCCTGGTTTTTTCCGATTTCTGACAGATATTTAGATAATTATTATTTGCTTACTGTTGGATAGGTCTATGGTGTTCTTGGGCTTGTCAAGTGGATTGGCAAGTAAAGCGATGTTTTTGACTTGCATGATAATCTTCATTCTCTCAAGAGGACCCAGAATAATAGCTTTTGTCATTATCAATGCTGAGAGCTAGTGCTATAGGATCTTAAAGATAGAGACCTAGTTCCTGGCATCTGTTTTCACCTGCTGCTCGTATTTTCTGATTCTATATTCCTGGATTCTTTGAGACACACTCTCAGAGCTTGACTCTGCTACGACTGCTTTATTCCCCAAAGATTAATTGCTCTCCATTATATATAATTATTATTATAAGCCGTGAATTTAAATAATTAAAAATTTGAGTAAAATTAAATATCATCATCCTTATCATTAACGAGTGCATGCCTCTTTTCATCTGCCAGGTCTTTGCTTTTCTAATTTCTTAGCCTTGTGTAGAGTATCTACCTTTCTCTTAGCTCTGATAAATGCTAATGCATCATCGTCGACATCCTCTCCACCGTTGAACAAGGAGTCTCCTTGGAAGGCATTAAGAGTGCCCTTTTGATATTGATTTTTGACTGTTTGATTGTAAGCACTGTCATCCATCTAAATTTCACCGCCTCCACCTGCTTCGAATTCATCTGCATACCAACCCTCAAAGTTGTAGATTAGTTGCTACTTCATAGAATCAATATTACTCTGAATATCGTTGACCTCTACCTTTAGATTCTTGAGTTTATCATAGTTTTCTCTATAGTTTTTCTTCAGATCCTTCATCTCCTTCAACAGCATTAATTCTTCCTCGTCAATAATCTCTTCTATCTGGCCATTGCCCCCTCCCATGCCGTCATCATCAAAATCTTATTGGAAATCAGCTCCCCCACTTCTTAGCTAAGCCTTCTTCTCCTCGCCTTTACTATCAAGTCTGGCCTTTATCTTGTCCATCTCTTGTTTAGTGGTGTTAATAACCTAGGTAAAGGTCTTGATGTGCTAGCGCTTGTCTTTCATCTCATTTCTGTAATCTATGATAGCCTTTTCAAGAGTCCTGCCGTCACCTTCTTCCTTATACTCAATGAAAGCTGTCTACTTATCAATAGGCTTTCTCTTTCTCCTGACTGAGTCTTGTTACTCGCCACCTAATGAGTCATCGATAACTTACTCGCCTCCCAGCTTGGACTCTTCGAGCTTATCTTGTTTGAGTTTTTAGAATGCAGTCGGGTCTGAATCAATTTGTCTTTGCATTGACTCGACATTTTGCTTGAGCTTTCTGTAGCTATTTCTGATTTGATTGAAGATCTCTCTGACTTTCCTAAGGGAATCGATATCTTGGATCTCTTCAACTTGACCTGACAGATATTGCTAAGTCACTTTTTAGATGTCAACCACTTGATCTGGTGAATAAGCGTCGTATGTGATTCTGCCTCTGTTCTTTAGAGTATCATGCATTGCCAGCTCTTGCTTGAGATCTCTAACTTCTTTCTCATATCTCTTGATTAGGAGATGAGGGTCAAGCTGAATGTTAACAATAGCTTCGTTGCTGACTCTCATCATTCTAGTGGCAAACTTGAGAGTTGAAACAGTCTCTTCCAAGTGAGTTGGCTCTGGCCAGATGTTTGCTATCATCAGAGTCTTGCAATTACCTCCTAGTGAATCTCTCAATAAGTTAGTAAGCTTAGACTGTCTGTAAGGTACATGATCTCTGCTTTTATCACAAAGTGCTATAACTACCTGCTCGAGGAAACTCAAACTTTTATTGATGAATGTGGCCTCCTTTAGAGTAATACCACTGCTTCCAGTTTTCTTAGTTCTTTCACTTCCAGCTAAATCAACGAGATGCAATTTGCTGAAAAGCACCTTATCACTTGACTCTACTCTGGATCTGCTCTCGATATGAATGGTAAAGACGCAGTGGGATCTTGAAGAGGCTTTGTTCAGTTAGTGCTCTGAAACTGTCCTATTCATGTCACCCTCAAAGAGTTAATTCAAAGCGTCCTCCTCTTAATTGCAAACTATCATTGACAGGTTCTTGATAGCCACACCGCCTCTTGAGTCATCTTGAATTTGCAGGTGAGATGCCTATTGCTCGTGAGTAGGGATAGGGGAAAGCAAGTCAAACATCTAAACAAAGGTAAAATAAGATCACTTTAAGTTACCATTTCATTATAGATTTCAACATAGCTGACTCTGATAGTTATAGCTTGGTCAAATTTGTTTCCTACTTCTCTAAATACTTGGCTTATAGCTCTTGGTATAACTCCTCTGTATGAGAAGTTAGTGCTGCTGCCAGTCATTGTGAATGTCTTTCCAGCTCCAGTTTGTCCATAGCAAAGGATGGTCCCATTATATCCTTGCACAACTGACTGCACTGTTTCTTGAGCTGCTGCTTCATAAACTTCATCTTATCTAAATAAGTGTTAAGCAAATTCATTCCATCGAGTAATAAGACTTTGTTCTAAACTTACGAAGAATTTTGAAGAATCTTGTCGAATTTAAATTTCCACGAATCTAGTTGATTATTCACAGTTCCTTCGTCTTTCTTGTCAATATTCAATGCGATAGTCTAATAACGAAACATTATTAAAGGAAGGTGCTAGGCATTTGCTTACTCCAGTGAGAGGATCAATTTTGATGTTCTTGGAGGCGAAGTTGGCAGTGGGTCTGGCTCTGACTACTACCTTAACTGCTTGCTTTACCATAATTGTAATGAATGAAACTTATTATATTTATTTCTAATAATTCTCTCAAATCTAGGTGACTTCGATTCTATGGGGTTTTGGGGTTTTGGGGTTTTGGGGTTTTGGGGTTTTGGGG